AAAAAAAAAAAAAAAAAAAAAAAAAAAAAAAAAAAAAAAAAAAAAAAAAAAAAAAAAAAGTACAAAAAAAAATCTTCAACATAATTAGAATTTTTACTACTTACCACAAATTTTACATCTGGTTCTGTATAAACCAGCAGCAATGTATGCACTTCGTTTCTTACTGTATTTTTTATTTTTTTTTCTCTGGGCATTGTGATGCTTCTATATAATCCTGTTCTCCCATTTTAAAACCACTGTGTTGAGGTAAAAAGTATTGTTGGGAGCTACATACCTATATAAACAGATCCTTCCCTGGGTTCTCACAGGAGTGTCCACGAGCCCATTCCTCTTCAGGCTTTCTGGTGCTGCTCCTTTCCTCTGCTTATCTCTGACCTTACCTCATGAGGATGCTGAATCCACACAGAAAGATGTTTAGCAGGCTGAAGTCAAATGCCAAATTGATCAGGCAGAACTAGGAATGACAAAAATGTGCTGTTACAAGAGCCTGGGGGTTTCTTACATTAAATTTCCTTAGATAAACTGCATGCCTGTTTTCCTCAAGCATCCTACATCATGATCACACTATGGGATCTCACATAGCTGGTGGGATTCAGCAGTAACCGACCATATCATGTGCCTTACAGATGAAAAAGTACTTATGCTTGAGAAGCAGTTCTTACTTCTGTAGCAGTTTTGAAAGGCACTTTTCTGATATGGAAGGGGGTGGAGTCTTTCCCTTCATGAATTTCTGAATAGCCCAACCCGCAGTGGCTACAGCAGTGGGAGAAGTTCTTGATACACACTGCTGAAATATTCAAACCCCATATAATTATGTACTTCCTTTCACAGTCTTGATGACTGGAGCTGAGGCAAGAACAGTCCGAGAGGTCATGCTGGACTTAGTCATCCCACCCCCATGGTCTAGTGTGGCTTCACGAAGCCCAAACAACAATCCCATTGGCTTCATGGCATTACCTGAGTGCAGTTTTGGTCAGAACAGAAATAGCTTGTTAGTACAGCTCAGAGGGACAGCCTGCAGCCAAACAGGGCCCTTAGGTCTATGTACCTGTAGGTTATATGGCTCATTCTTCACCAAACTGTCAGGTAATGAGGGCTGTAGAAAACTGCAGTGAGGAGTGTCCTACAGCAGAATTCGACATGTCACACGGAATGATCCTAATGACCCACTATGATTAGGGAATTCAGCTTGGGCCTCTGCCAACTTCCCTCATTGCTGCTGCTTCACAAACATACAGACTACAAATGTGACCTTAAGAAAGCCTTTAGTTGAGCAGGAGACCAAGTTCTTCAGGGCTTAGGCCTGTGACATGGCTTTTGGGAAACAACCCTGAGTTTTGTTCAGTCAGTTACCTGGGATAGAATTAGTTTTACTTGCCAAAGGTTGTTCTTAACACATCTTTCCTGGGTTTCATCAGTCTTCTGTTTTCCTCCTCTCCTGGCCCCCAGGTTGAGCTCATGCCCTTTTTTCCTTGAGTTCCCCAGGTGAGCTCCACAGTTATTATGCAAGGGCTGAGTCCATTTTAAGCTGAGGCGTGAACACGGAACATGTCCTCGAGCAGCCTCAAAAGCATCAAAGGGGCACATTTCCTTTCTCAGGACAATTGTCAACCTAAAGCTGACTGGACCCTTAAAGGCTTCAGTTCCCACTCACTGAAGCCAATATAAACTTTTATTTTCATGCCAGTGGTTTGGGAATGGGCCTTAGTTCTTAGTTACAGAAAGTACCTTACAAAAGCAGGATACATTCTTCAAAATAGTATTTCTGATCAAGCTAATCTAGGTCTAGTGAGCCAAAGGGTCAGCTAGAGCTCACTTGTGACATATCTGGGCACATCTGGTTGTGGACATCTCACTGGCAGAAACTGCACTCCTGAGAATTACTCGGACCACCCCCAAATCCTGTAAATTTATGAGCAAATGTGACAGCCCTTAGGTTCAATAACCATTCCTAGCAGCATTATCAGACACCCCACATCTGTTTCAAAGGGAAACAAGAATTTATTCTGCCTTATTACTGGGAATAATTCTTCTAGAACAGCCAAGGTTCCTGAAAATTCCTCTTCATTAAACTTTCATCCAGGAAAAGTTAAAGACAGGTACTCTGAGATAAAACTTAATAGTGTCTTACTGCCAAAGAGGGAAACGCTGTTGTACCATTTGTATGAGTTGGGGACAGGAATAGTGGCTGTCCACAAAGTGAAAGAATTTACAGTGCAAGTACCAGCAGAAAACCATCAACATATTCTCAGTTGCCTTGATCACCCTTTACCTCTGAATGAGGTAAAGAAGGAAAAACTGCATTTGTTTTGTTTACAACACCCCAAAATACCACACAAGTATGACACAGTGCTGCCATTTTTTATCTTGTAATTTTTTTGCACTTGAAATGCAGTTTCAAAAAATACTTCTATGCATGCACATGAAACACTGATTTGTTGCAGCCAAGTACTTCAATTAAATAAACCAACGTGTAGACAAGTAATTTTCATTGATTTTAATTTTAAATACTGTTCAAGAGTAATATAAAAGTTCCAGGTTTGTCTTTTCAGACTAATTGTTGTTTGGTTCCCTTCCCCACCCCCCCCCAAAATCTTCAGTGAAGTTACTTGATGCATCTTTCAGGTAATACTGTTCAGAAAGAACTTCAAATGACAGAATTTGCGCTTATGTTTTCCAAAAGAGAGGGTTCTGTGTCAGACGTCTCTGGAAGTTCTCATACCTAGAAAAAACCAAAAAAAACCTCCAAAAATAACAGTTGCTGCATATAATTTTTTTTTTTTTAAAGGATACAAATAATCAGTCTATGCAGAGAACATGGTAAATTACATCTACTCCACATCAGAAAATTAGTAAATCCCAAATCCTAATTTCCAATTCCATACCAAGAATATTCAGAGACAGACTTGGGTATTTCAACGAGATGTATTTCATTAAAGCAGTATCCCAGAGGAGGCTCATTCAAGCTTAGTGAAATTGTAAGTGAATTTAGATTGGATATTAGGAAACATTTCTCCACTGAAACGGTTGTCAACCACTGGAACAGGCTGCCCAGAGAAACAGTGGAGTCACCATCCCTGGCAGTGGCAAAAAGACACGTAGACGTGGGCTTACGGATGTAGCTTAATGGTGGACTTGGCAGCATTAGGTGAATGGTTGGACTCGATCTTAGAGGTCTTTTCCAACCTAAGC